AAAGTATTTTTTTCGAATCCAATTTGCGTATAATTTGTTTTTTCAAACAAAACAACATTTGGGCCCCTTTGGGCACATCTTTTGGTCACGTGGTAATGTTAGATATAACTAGTTGATGAATTTACTATCTAGTCACCCGTGACTTTGGTTTGTTTCAAAAAAACAAATATACGCGATTTAGGTGGGAAAAAAATTGTTTCATTTTCTAAACATATATGTACCTATTGTAAATCAAATTTGGGATGTTTAGCCTTATTAGATAGCTACATTAAATATACTATTACATTTGCAGAAAACAATTAATTTATGTTACATAACCTGTACCATTGATCAAATTGATATGCTCAATAAGCGGGCCAAATTTTTTACAATTAACGCAGTAGAATGTTATGAAAAGCATTATACTGCTCCAATTCACTTGACAAATTAACCTTACTCAAATGGTAACTATGTCAAAATGGTTGAAGAGGTAACATATTATTTTGCCTCCAAGGTTTATGTTGATTGAGTTAGATTCAAAAACAATAACTACGTAAAAGTATTTGAATTTCAATCCATAACAGAAAATGCTTTATATAACAAAAGCTTGAATCAATTATACATGTACATAAATGAAGATATAAACATAGAATTGACACGATACTCGATAGCTGTATAAGTATAACTATAATAGTGTTGTTGTAGCGTAAGTTGCGCGTACTGCGACGACATAACTATACCTCTTATAGCATGAAGTAGTAAGATGATTGGTAAGGCCGTGTACATCATGAAAGTTGTATTTCATCTTCGTAAGTTTTTCTGTCGTTTAGATATTGTTAGTACAAAAATATAGTATATTTTTAATAGCACTGGAACTCTTTGTGTAAGAGTATATCCAGGGGAGTACTGCCACCATACCTATTTCTGCCGCCAAGCAGTAATATGAGCATTACTGCGTTCCGGTTTTGAAGGGTAAGGGTGAAATTACTAGGCACATGGGACTGGCGAGGGCAGTGACAGTGCCCCTCCGATCTTTGTGGTTTAAAGCTCTGAGTGGCACTGCAGCTGTTATAAACAGGCGTGACACTTACGTCCTGCCTATTGGTATTATTAAAATTAAAAAAAAAAAATACTGCGCTCCAGTTTTGTAGAGTAAGATGCTGGTGAAACCACATGCTGATGGGACTTGTCAACTTTATGTGTCAAGGTGACGGGTACAGTTACAGAGCTCCTCAGATCTTTGTGATTTAAAGCTCTGAGTGGAACTGCCACTTTTATGGGTAGGCTACCAGACGCATAACTTGTTCGTCTCATCACTTGATTATACAAAATAATGATTGGTCACAAATCTTGATCTATGTATCTTCAGGCTACCATTGTATGTAATGAATTAGTTTTGCTTTATGATTATTGTATGTTTTCTTCATACCGCTCTTAACAGTTAGTCTGCCTGTAATTTTACCAGCACCCTTACCTATATATATTACCTACATATAACATAGTAATTATGGCATTACCGCTTGGTGGCAGAAATAGGTAAGGTGACAATACTTTCCAGGACGGACTCCTTCTCAAAGAGCTCTACTGCTGCTAACATTTATATAAATTTAACACAATATTAAAACTCTAAAGAAACTCAGATCATTGTAACACTTAATTACACAAAAGAACAACAAAAGAAATATAATTTTGTATTTGCGACATAAAAGTTCAAAGTAAAATCAAATTACAATACTAACCATATAATTAGTGCAAGAGTTTCCCGTGAAACGATTAACGTGTCGTGAACAATGCCATGGAAATATTCTTAGACTCACAATATACGTCACAGTAACTGTCGCGGTCGTCGTTCAAAGCCTTTAAAATATTCATATCGGAGTAATCTATGACACACCGATTTAACTGTAACGGGAAAATGCAAGTTGATTCATATTTTGAGTAGAAAGGGCATTTCTAATACGATTGGATCGATATGTAGAGACAAACATGGCTTGTTCCATTGTGAACACCCACTACTTGATATTACTATCGAAAGGAGTTATTTGGTGCAATTTTAAAAGATTGTGCTTAGCAGTATGCTGCGACATGGAAGCGACGTTGTCGTAGGATACTTGTAGCGTGTTGTGAGAAAATAAAAAAAAATGCAAAATGATATTCGTGTCGTACGTCTCAGTGTCTAGCATAATCTATGCAATTTAAACGAGCCTTTACCCGTCGCAGGCGCAGCTGCACGATGCGCGCTCGCTACCGGTTTTGTTGGCTAACGACTCCCCTTCCCCCCCTCAACGTATCGATCGACGACGCCAGGCGAAACGGAAAATTTTATACTTCCTTTCGTACCTTGTAAGTACGTAGATTGATCTGACGCTATCCGATTTTAGATGATCAGCTATAAGAGCACTACTTGTAATGACAATTAGATTAGATTAGTTTCTGTTATGTAAATTTCGATGTGCCTAAAATTATCGATTTTCTTTAATGAGCTTACGTAACGTTGTGTTACTAATAATAGCTTTTTAATTTTTTTTTTATAAAATTAAGTGACGGGACTAGCAAGTCGTGCACCTGATGGTAAGCCTCACGCCTGTCCATAACAGTTGCAGTGCCACTAAGAGCTTTAAATCCGCAAATATCTGAGTCTGCACTGCCACTGCGCCCGACACCCTGAGATATAAGTTGACAAGTTCCATGTGCCTGTAATTTCACCAGCACCCTTACCTTTCAAAACCGGAACACAGTAACGCTAAGATTACAGCTTGGCGGCAGAAAAAGGTAAGGTGGCAGTACTACCCTGGACGGACTGTTTCACAAGGAACTTCTACTACTACTAAAAAAGTTTACTAAAGTAGTTTCCTAAAGATAGGCTTTGTAGTTTCTGACTACATTGTACAATTTGAGTTCATTTGAATATATAGGTACATAGTTTTTACGATGGAGTCATAGGGGCAGTGACAAAAGCAGTTTCTCGTATCTGTACACACAAAAAACTTATATAAGAGTAGGTTTGTGTATTAATTATACAACGTACGTTTTAAAAAACGGTAATAGGTAGTATGTAAAAATAAACCTAAATTGAGTATTTGAATAATGCATGGCTTGTATCAAACAGGCAATGTGTAGTGAGTACAGTGCGAATCGTTTATGTAAGGTACTAACGCGACTCTAAATTTAAATATCAGCGAGTGAGCGAGACAAAAAGACGGTGTATGCGCATTATAAAGGAATACATTTACTTTGGATTGACCATGGGTGACTACAACGCCAATGATACTCGTTTATATTTTGAAACTTCATATAAGAAATTTATTTATTATGTTAAATGAACCTTCAGGAAATCTAATTTATGATGTATGCTCATAAACCAAATAATCAGACTAACAATTTTTTAAAACTATCATTCATAGATCTAACAGTTTTTTTCAAACTTACGTAGAATTCCAGTGCCACCAATTATCTGTTTTATGGAAACAATTGGCACTACCGCGGCCGTTTTGAAAATACGTCTAATAAACGATCAGTAATGTCAATTAAGCGCCAAGTTTTGAAACGTTTCTATGAAACATTCTTCAATGACTTTTTTACAATCTGTTCAAATATTATGGTTGCATACAGAACTTTTGAGATAATCAAAGTTGTACGATTCCAAAGCTAACTTGCCTTGCACGGGCGCACCTTCCCCCCTCGCGCGTCTCTACGCTGCGCGAGTGCGTAAACGTGACCCCGTCACATGAACTTTAACTATCTTATTTGATCCACTATACTTAATAACGTGTAGTTCTTAGCCGCAAATAGTCACGAGGGACTTTTCTTCAGTGTAGATATTGTACAAAGCACCGCAGGCGTAAGATACAGAATCTCGTCAGCATCGGCGTGTTTATTTCGTAATTGGTCGCACTAAAAGCAGTAGTCTACAATTTGCAATTGCTGTGATATCGTATAGGTACTGTAAAGCTCACAGTGGACCCACACTCACTTTCAGTATACTCAAAATTTATTGCAGTGCCTTTAATGGCCCAGAGTCCTTGGTAGTTGGAGCTTCATGGCTTTTCTTTTTTAATTACCAGTAAAGTCGACGCATTAGCACCATAGTTAGCGCAATGCCACCGTACCTGTTCCGAATCCGAGAATATACATCAAGAAAACTCGGACTGACTTCGTATGTCGCTTATGCACTAAGTCCGATACGAATCCGAGAAAATAAAAATATTGCTTGTATACTTAAAGATTGCTAATAACTATTTTGTTCATTTAATCTTCATCAACTTTTGGCATTGTTAGTACATATGAAGACGCAGTAGGAATAAAAAGTTTTGGGTACACCTACTCCTGTTGAAATGACTTTTCAGAGAAATATTTTATAATAATTACGACGGACTTAAACAAAATAGCAAGAAATTTATTTATAGTTATTATTGAATTTGTCTGTCCACTTTTAATTTATATTTATATATAAATAGAGATTCGATATCTTCATCCGCCGCGTTCGGACACGAATGGGACACAGTGCGCAAAGCTCTAAGGGTTCTTTTTCAGTACTGGCAGTAATGGCCACTTCTTAAGGGTTTTAATTTTTTAGAGGAATATTAGATGAAGTTTAGAAGTGGAAACTAAAAATCAGTATTTAAAGACGTATTTCATCATAAAAATCATTTAGTATGATGTAATTTATACGCTTGATTAATAATAGAATGATATAAACTCTTGTTTGCAGCCCGCATTATCATACATACTTCTTGCTTATCTAATATTTTAGCAATTCGTTTAAAAAGATATATATACTAAAACATTTCAAAACTATTTTCTTAATTTCAGGTTAAAAAAGGTAGCTTACGTCAAATTAAAAAAGAAAATGCCGTAAGCGTTGACAAACAACTTAATGGTACATTCTCTTTGAGCAAAGTCTAAGGACGGATCTCAATTCAGTATGGTTGCATAAAATACCAAAATTATGATTTCAAAATAGTTTCAGGCAAAATGCATACAGCAAAGGATTTTGTTTAATGGTCGATACCATTAAACAAAATCAGATATGAAGTGTAAGAAAAACTGTAAAACACTTTAAATTAGTATTGTTTGTACCAAGCTACGTAAACAAAAGTAAGTTTTAAATATTACAAATTTATATGTATATGAATTACTAGTAAATGAATTACTTAGTAGATTATATTTTCTTATACCCTTAGACCTATAATTCTATATAAATTGAACGATAGAAGACAAATCTACGTACATTTGTTACAGTTCAGTGATCATGGCAGAACAAATATTTATGATAGAAGTTTTCGTTAAAAAAATTATACTTAAAATCGACCCTCCCGAAAAAGACGAATATGAGTTAAAAATGGAGGAAGAGGAAAGAAAAAGAGAGGCTGAACTAGCAGCAGCAAAAGAAGCAGCAGAAGCAGCAAAAAAAGGAAAAAAGAAACCACCGAAACCTAAGAAACCTAAAAAAGGAAAGAAAGGAAAAATACCTCCTGGACCTTCCGAAGAAGAATTGAAATTTATGAAAACGTGTAGTATGCAAATGACCTGTTTACCGGTATTTGATTTTAGTGTAGCTCATGACAACTTTGTTGCACCTCCTCCTCCGCCTCCACCTCCAAAAAAAGGTAAAAAGGGTAAACCAGCTAAGCCTAAAAAAGGTAAAAAAGGTAAACCTCAACCATTCAAGCGTGTGTTGCCATCAGAGCCTTTACCACAACCACCCTATTTCGGGGTTGGAAATGCTGTGGCATTTATCTCAAGACCAACGACGCTAGAAGAATTACTAGTTAACACCCCCATATATATAACTGTATGGAACCGGGACGAAAATTTGAATTGCGTAGGATTTTCTATAGTTCACTGGCACAAATCTTTTATTGAGTGTCTTAAAAAAGCCGAAAATTACAATCCTATAGATTGGGATCAGGGTGAATATAGAGATACTAATCATATGGAAATGGTCACTAATACAGTTGAATACGTACGTGGGTTGCAATGTGAAGAAGATTTAAAAGCATCCGGAGAAGTTGAATTTATTATTCGATTAACTTGCTTAGGTAATAAAATTCGCTCAGACTACGTCACCATACCAGAAATTCCAGAACAGCGAATAAGTGGTAGGTATTACTTAAACGACGACTTAAAATTGAAAGATATCGAAGTTATTCGACACTGGGAAGGTACTTTCATTGAAATGATTCCTCCCGTGGCGTATCTTTTTGGTGCTCCAGACATCGTCCGAGAGCCTATTTTGCCTGATGAGGAACCTAGAATTTACGATGACTTTGTGGCACCCTTCACTTCTAGCGAATTAGCGATTCTTTCAATGGGCTTTCCTAAAGGCCCTTGTGGTGGTACAAACTGCCCTAGACGAATGGATTATAGGGGTAGTCAGCACCAATTTATTCCCGGCGAAACTGTCAAAGGAAAATATCAACATGGCATTTTTGTCAACAAAAGAGACGTTCATGGTCCGTGTGGTAGATTAGATTGTCCTCTAGCAAAAAAAATTCGCGCCTATATATGTAATGAAGGTGCTTATAAAACTTGTAGAAAGCCATGTCCTAAGGACTATTACTAAATTTAATTCTGAATCAAAATCTAAAATGGTTTTTGTGCGCACACTGATATGAATCATTAATTTTGAATATTTGTTGTCGAGACAAGCATTTTGGTCATATAAATTAATATGATGTACTTATATGGTGTTGAAAAGAGATATTAGATGTATGTGATTTTATAACTTCATTATCACCATATTAATTTAATTTTGGCAAAGCAGTTAACTAGTATACTTTTAAATAATATAATTATTATAACATTATGACGTACAATATGAGTATGAAAGAGATTGTTTTAGTTTCATAAGCTTTTGCGCTAGAACATTGAACATACTAATTTATAATAGACACAAGAATGGTATATGGTCATAGCGGAAGTCCCCAGAATTTATAGTACATAATAACTTAAAACGTACTACAGTTGAAATAAAACTTAGTTACAATGACGGTTAAATTAGGTTTCTTGTTCATCAAAGCAATTTGAGTCATTATTGTTTGAGGCATATCCGTACTTTCTCTTTTTAAGACTCGCACTTGTAACGTTTAAAGCTGAAAAATTCAGAAATGAATTTTGTACTTGCGTAGATAACAATGACAATACAAATAATGCCAGAAAACTGCCAGAACGGCTAAAAATATATTATTCTAATTTGTTCATATTATATTAAATAGTTGGAATTTGTATACATACTTAAATTTAAACGAAACTCTGGGAAAAGATCAATATAACGATAATAAAAAAATGCAAATCGAATTCTCCTTTTCCCCCATATAGACCTGTCATTTATTTACAAAGAAAAAATTGCGGCTCGTTTTTGTAAGGTTAGGAGCTTTGTAACTGTTCTTACCATAATGCGATGGAAAAGTATTCTTGTACAAGGTAAACCCATTGTAATCATTAGTGTGATTTTGACACTCGCAATTTAGTCGTTACGGTCAGTGAATGAGAATTAACGTGTTCCGTAATAAGGATTTTTAAATGGGTTTATGGTACTTAAATACATACTTAGGTATTTATTGTTTTGCATCGCCTAACTGTAATGCCTATATGGGGCAATCTTTGTTACGTCAACATATTGTGTGAAATGGAATAAACTAAAAAGACAACACATTTTGTGGTGGCTTTTTTATGTTGAAGTGGCTTCTCCACAAAATAACTTTTTCATGACAGTCACGTCACACTTCTGGTCATATATATGATATATATATATATATATATATATATATATATATATATAATATTGGTATCGGTTCCTGAGTACGATTGATTTTTTTTTTATGGTGTCAAGAGAAAGGACGAACAAGTCGTTCACCTGGCGGTAAGCGACATGCATATCCATAACAGTTGCAGTGGCACTCAGACCTTTAAGTTGCAATAATCTGAGAGGCAATGCCGCTGCGCCCGTCACTCCGAGACATTAGTCGACTAGTCCCATTTGCCTGTAATTTCATCAGCATCCTTCTTACTCTTCTAAACCAGAACACAGTAATATTCATATTGCTGCTTGTGGCAGTATTTCCCTGGACGAAATCTTTTACAATGACCTCTACTGCTATTCATTAATTAAAGCTTACAAATTAATAATTACTCTATACACCATGTCAAATCCATGACCACCTCTATATATTACTTATTATTTTACAAGTGTAAACCAGCCTTAATAAATTTTATAGTACTAACATTTAATTCACAAACTTTTTTGCCAAACACCTATAACGCTTTTTCTAGACTGTGGAAGTCCAACATTCAGTCGCTAAAACCCTAATGTTTCATACATTAACTCATTTGCGCACAAGCCGATGATTAGTCTAATGCATTCAAATTGATGCAAACAACAATATGGTATTATGCACGTTTATCTATGCAACTTGATATATGTTGCAAGGTCCTTTTGATAAAACTGTAGGTGAAGAACAATGGCTGTGACGGTGTACTTACTCATAATAGCTGTATATGAATGTTGATTTACCTGCACATAAAAGGTATATCTTATTAGATTGGTATGTGTAGGGTTCTACTACACAGTGTATCCACCCTGTTGGTTCTTTCTAGATAATGTCTATCTATAGAGGTAACATAAACTTACATGTCTCCCTATGATGTAAGATTGGAATTTTTACAACGGCTTTTGAAATATTTCCTACAAATTACAAATCTAGTGTCTCTACAGTTTCTGTTTTTATTGTCATTATTGCCACGATTTTCGGTTTTTACTTATTACCGTCCTCTCTAGTTATGTCGTAAACCAGATTTTTTTTACTTTTAGGGCTAGGAAGAACCAGCGCAATCACTGACACAAGGAAAAGCAACACGTTTTTCATATTAAGAATACACCTTTATCGCAAATTTTTTTAGGCGCCATAAACATTTTCCACTAGGGTGACCGTCATTTTTAAACATACGTTTTTACGGAAATCATTCATTATATTGTTGTAGCGAAGAAGTTCCTTTAGGTTTGGCGTTGATTTCGTAGACATCTTGTTTTTAATCATCATAATGTACAATTTTATAGCACGAATTTTAATTCATGTCGTTGGGTAAGAACGACCATCTACCTTATTTTGTGACTGTATACTCTTAAACTCTCCATTTTACTATACTGCGAATTTTGAGTTTTGTTACACCATCCAAAATACTATTAATGCGAAAATAACTCTGTCTGCTACGTTTTTACGCTAAATCCGTTTAACGAATTTTGTTGAATTTTGGAATTTTAGTCTAGAGATAGATAGATGATGATGGATCTAGGAGAAGAACAGGCTAATTTTTTGTCATAAAAATAAAGCTTGAAGACGGTGAAACAGGTGATGAAAGTTTCTTTGCAGAACCATTAAACTTATGAAAATTAGTGTAGTACAGAAGGCTATTCGCAGTACTTACTGATTCTACGCAGACGAAGTCGCACGCACCAGCTAGTTTATTGTACGTTATTGAACTACCGACTTAATTGTAATAGGAATCAGTTCACAAGTATGCATTATTACTAATATTATGATGCCTTCAGTGTGCATCCACTGCTGAATATAGGTCTCCTCTCTATTGCATCATTCTTGGTCAAATATTTTACATCAAATACTTTTATGAATGTACTGCGCATCACAAGAAGATATGTTCATGTTACTTATATTCTGGATCTGTTTAAAACCAAAGAAATATAGTCGTAAAGTATTACATATTGCTGCCTAGATAGACTAGCTTGATGAAACTATATATTATATGAAATAATAATAACGAAATATTGGTAATAAAATCAATGTGTAAAGCTTGCACTGTTTTGCAAGCGCCTAATACTGTTTTATGAGCAACTGAGTTTGTAGCGTCAAAGCCTTCGTATGCTTATAGCTGGATCAGGAGAGCCGCTTGTTGCGCAGCAAGAAATCTCTGTCAATTCTGTATCCTACTACTTTAATTTTTTTTTAAGTTTAAGATTTGTTTGTAATGATTCCTTTATTTTTTATTATCTTGACATGGATATATTGACCCGCTAGATGCACAAACTGTAGTTGTCGCTTTTTTAAACTGTTTCGCGCGCACTCGGTATATATCCGTAATTAACGTAATGTATAATTTTCCAAAAACGAATTTAGATAGTCTCCCATATGAGTTGCCTAAACTTTATTTTAGTACTATTATAGTGGCCTAAAAAAACTAAACAATAGCATCGGACTTCTTCTACTTGTTTACCTATATTACAATTTCATAATATCCGACATCAATTACTTTTTGTTAATTTAACGACCTTTTGTCTGTTTTCAAAGTCCAAAATCTTTAAATTCTTAATTTCAAATTTCTTAATTTAATATTTATTAAAAAAAAATACAGGATCATATATGGTAAAAAGTTAGCAGATTGCTCTGCATACTAGCACAAAACTACAAACTGGCACATGGATATAAAAATAAAACTAAACAATCATTCACACATCGTGATTTATTAATTCAATAAACACCCTTGGACAAGCTACTAATTTGAGCACCTACATTTTCCACAATAAAAAAATACCTTAGATTACCTACAAAATAGCAGTTTTACTTTGACATACCGTTGTGTTTTTGTGTTTTCTCATGTAATAAGATAAAAATAAAACCAACACAAGGGAAACAGACAGAATAAACTAAATTTGTCAACATACCTATACGCGCTATATGACTCATCAGCGAACATCAAATTACGAACCCGTCATTTCACCATACAACACACTGATCAGTTTTGCCATTGATGATTAGTTCGGTGATTCATCTTCCTAAACCGTTTAGGCCGTGCTGTGTTAGATAATATGGGAATTGACTAGTGGTTAGCTTTTGGCGCAATTTGCAGTGCAATTGTTTGATAAATTGTTGCAGTTATAACTGGGGACTAGTCATGAATTGCACTACAAAATTATCAAATATTTTTGAAGTCGTTAAAGCTACTGCCAGCACCACATTCGTGATAGTAGCACTGGATTAGTTTATGTACATATCAAGAGTAAATAAACTGTAAAAGTCTACTTGGAAGAACTATTGCTTCCAATACAGGAGAATTCGATTCCTGTACCGCAAAATTTTTTCGATTGTGCAGGACAGACAACTAAACGCTTAAGTTATTGTAACTATGAAGGAAAGTATATTTTTTTCCAGTTGTCTGGAAGAGATCGCTCTTAGCGATAAGACCGCCTTTGCCCACATTAGTTTTAAGTTGTTTATGTACTATTCTTGCTCTTGTGTGTGAGCAATAAGTGTTGATCTATCTATTTATCTATCTCTAGGAAAACTGTATGACCAGCATTGGAAGATTTATGGGTTGGTATAGTAAAAACAACGAGAATAGTATAGTTACCAGCGCAATTAAAATAATACTTTTTTGTTATTAAACAAAGATAAATTCTTAAAGTGTAAAAAAGTTTAACCATTTGGCTTTAGTCAATTATTCCATAATCATCATCATTGAGCTCATTATATGTCCAACTCACGCGCACGGGTCTCGAGACCATACTTTAGTTTTGTGGAAGGGTTCGTCCAGGGAAGGCGCACGACTTGTTCGTACCGTCACTTGATACCACAATAAAAAAATAGCAATTACAAAACAAAGCGTCTGTTTTTTTATCACAGCAAACCGATGACTTCCATGCCATTCGTAAGAGGGTCTCTCAAGATGCGTGTGCGCGGCAGCGTCAATGGCATCCTGGCCGTTACTGGTAGTATGACTGCCCTTACCGAAACCATTGGGTCCAAATTACATGTGCGTAGGGTACTCATCTAGTGCACTCATCGTGGCATTTTCTCTGTCTACTAGTATTAGGCCTATTTATTTTTTGTTGTACTAACAATAGCATCTAAGAAAAATGTATGTATCATGTGGTCTGAAATATACTCTTTCTATTCTATGGTAAAGGCTCAGAGGTACGTAATTTTTATTGTATAAACCATTTTATTCTAATAATAAAAAAAACAACTTGAACTAAACACCATACTTAGTACATATCTAATTATTGTAACTACAGGTTTTGACTTTTGCATTGAAAGTAACAAAATGAGCCGGCTTTTTATTCAGGGCATTTAACGTTCATATATCACTTTATAATGATGCCAGTATGCGCCATTGTTATGTGGTGACTAATACGTTTTACTACTTAAGTCTCTTTCTTTAATTACCTTGTCCTGAACCTGCCTGCAAATTGTATATTGTATCTATCTACAATATACGATTTGCGATTTTTATATTTTTTACAATTTTTGTATCTACAAAAA